GCCAAGGCAACCCCTCCCCACCCCCGGTGGAACCTATTTACGGATCCCTTCCACTCACCTCTTCAAACAAAATGAAAAGTACTCCAACATCAATATATTAAGGGATTATTCTAAACCCATTTTTTATACATATCAAGCAAAACAGGTTTGCAGTCAGAATGTTCCTTCTGTATAAAAGGAAAACACTTTTCATGCCGACCAAACCTGTACAGTTCAGCAATCATACATCGATTTTGAGAATAATTACACAAATTTAGTCCGATTAACGGCTGACCCCATAAATTTGCCGAACTATTTATAATAGGCCCGCTGATGTGTCCAATCGAGATAATCAAGAGGAATGAACATCTTCACAAAGAGTTTAGGGTTCCGAAAGTTGTTGAAAGCCATTCAAATAGTGATTCTTTGGCATTAATCTCTTCTGTCCCCCCAGAAACCCAATTTAGATTTGGCTTCAGGCTTTCCATCGTGGATTTGGCCCGCATAAAGTGAGTGCCCCTTGAATAATTGACTGAATTAGGGAACCTGCTTCACCAAGTTGTCATGGTTATTGAATTGCCATTTTTCAGTAGGCCTATGTGCCCTTTTGACCGTGCTCATAGCGTTTAGTTTACCAGAAATACATTAAGAGAATCGTCTCGAGTGCCCACTTTTCGTCACAGCATAACGGTCAGAAAATCGTACGTTTAGTATCAGACCACCCAGAAGGTGAAATTCAACACGCTCTATTCCAGCATCGCCGTCCATAGAGTGTCATCTTTCGGTTTCCATCGTCTGTCTCTCTCCTATAGTTCTGCTACGAGACTCAGATAGAATTCCAGAAGAGTTGTCCTCCTGCCAGAGGGAACAAGTGTTGCCAGGCAGAGCATTAAGTTCATTTCATCTATTTTCCTCAAGCATTCGTAACATTTGTGCAATTTGCTATTTTGTACATGATTATGGTGTGTAAAACCGCTTATTAGCTCCAAATGACATGAGCTTAATAAGAGAGCTAGGCTTAATAAAAATATGAGATGTATTCACCCTCTTTCGTCGAAGGTGATGAAGGACTGGTAGTAGAATTTTCCCACAATGATATGAGTTGTGCTGACGTTTCCATTAAATTTCACATAGACTTGCTTTGCCAAAATTTATTCTCATCCAGGATGAACTGCAGTTTCGACTTCGCATCGGTCTTATCAACACCCCCAGCTGCAGTCTAACCGTGACAAGGCAGAATGGTAGTTTGACACGTTAACGACTCGATCAGATTAATATAGCAAAGAGCCCTGACCTTCCTTAAAATTCACTTACGCCCTGTGACTCAAGGGTACTCGTTAGCGTGTCAAGCTCCCATCCTGCACTGTTGCGGTCTGACTCCAGCTAAGGGTGTTTATAAGACCGATGCGAGGTCGAAATTGCAGTCCACCCTGGATGAGAACAACTTTTGGAAAAGCTAGGCTATGTGAAATTCAATGGAAACGTCAGCTCAACTCATATCATTGTGGAAAAATTTAACTATTAGTCCTTCATCACCTTAGACGAAATAGGGTGAATACATCTCATATTACTGATTTACTGGTAGTCTCTAAACTCTACTTCAATACGAAAATAAATAAAAATGTGCTAAGTAAAGTAGGGCTTTGAAGGAATTCTTGGTTTATAATTGCTGAACCCACTACAATTTTATGTTAAAATGTGTATATAAGTCGTTTGACCTTGCTTTCGCAACTTGGTCATATTGACAGGAAGGCCTAGAGAAGCACACCTAGTCTAGAGTCCATTGTATGCATAATATTTTCCAGAGTCGGACCGTGGACTTGGTACATTCATAGACGTTTCGCCGGCATCGTAGTCGGCCTCATCAGTGAGACTTGCCATACATAGCACAACACTACAACTCGTCAAAGAGACAAGTGAAGTCGATCCTTTGACCAAATGTATGCTAAATAGTTGTGGTATCTCTTCTATCCTGGGTTATTCACCTATTCTATCCTATAACCTCGTATCACCCCTTCAATATCATTAATTATTACTTGTTTATCTAGACCTATTTGAAATATATTCACACTCCCCGCTTGTTTCCTCATCCCTCCCACTGTTGCGGGAGCGTTGATCATCAATACTCTCCTTTCAGTTCCTATCATAGTCCCTCTTGCTCCGCGGGATCCGTAGGATCTGCCTGTTTCAGTGATTTCACTCCATTACTGCCACCGTATCCGTACTACTAAAGGCGTTGTTCTATGCTCTGCCTCGCCTTTGATATCACTTATACACCAGCCTTAATGAGCAAGCACCTAAAGTCTGGAGTGTTGTAGTAAGTCAAATCAACGACCGACCAAAAGGAATCTGCCGTCGTCTTGTGGTTGGATTGACCTTCGAAGTTCTTCACTACGCATTTTTTAAACTCGAAATGGAAGTGAGCTTACTAATTAAAATGTTGATAACAGAGTAGAATCAGGCCATGTGAAAGGGGGCTATGCATGCAGTTAGAACTATCCTGACCAATTCGTTTTGCCAGGGTGACCTCGTAGAATATATCCTGTCCGATGTGCTCTGCCGTAGAATTTATGATATTCTGTTGTTTGACCTTGTTTTCACAACTTGGTCATATTGGTAGGAAGACTTATAGGAACGTACCTTGTCCT